CCCTTCTAGCATGCCCACTTCTCCCCACATCTTAGTGTCATCAGCAAATATGAACAGGGTGCTTTTTACCCACTTGTCCAAGTCGCGGATGAGGATGTTGAACAGTGCAGGCCCAAGGACAGAGCCCTGGGGGACCCCACTGCCCACATCCCTCCAGGTTGAATAAGACCCATCCACCACCACTCTCTGGGTGCGGCCCTCCAGCCAGTTAGTGACCCATTTGACTGTATAGGTGTCGATGCCACAGTCCCCCAGTTTTTTAATGAGAATGGGGTGAGAGACGGTGTCGAAGGCCTTCCGAAAGTTCAGAAAGACTATGTCCACTGCTACCCCTGCATCTAAGGATTTTGTCACCTGATCATAGAAGGCCACCAGGTTGGTCTGACAGGACCTGCCTGTAATGAAAACGTGTTGGTTGCCCCTAAGCATAACCTCCCCCGCTGGCCCCTCGTGGACATGTGCCAGGATAATTCTCTCAAAAAGCTTACCCAGGATTGAGGTAAAACTGACTGGCCTATAGTTTCCTGGGTCCTCCTTCCTCCCTTTTTTGAAAATTGGAACCATGTTGGCCCTCTTCCAGTCCTCTGGCACCACACCAGAGCATCACGAGTGCTCATAAAGCCGTGCCAGGGGTCCCGCAATGACCTCAAGTAATTCCCTCAGCACTCTGGGGTGGAGATAGTCTGGACCAGCTGATTTAAATACGTCCAGATATATATTATCACAACAGTGAAAAAAAAGTTATATGAATTTTTGCAGTTTTTTCTTTTTGCTTCCTTTTTATGTTACTTTTCATTGTTTGAATTACAGAAACATTAAGGCCCCAGAGATGGAGAGAAAGGTACCTATTGTACAGAGTACCATCCAAATATGCAAGACTACATTCCTTCCTCACAAGTTTATATTCTAAATTAAGATTATTTTCTCAATTGGATGGCCCTGAGTGTGCAATCTGATCTGTACCAGCATACTTCTGAACTCACATGACGTCCCATTGACTTCAGAAGGAGGTCCTATGGAAACTGGCACTCACCCATGCAGATTGGATTGCAGAAACTAAAGGACATTTAGAGATACAAAACCACTCGATGTTGTTTTCTCTTTTCATTATTTTAACGTAATGGGAATATTCATTCAATTCTATTCATTCATTCAATTGCTGTAGCTCCATTAATGTTAATGCTGTGCGTCACAGGTATATTTGATTCACAGCAACTTTTAAATACTTGAACTATATATTTTAAAAAATTAATTCTGAAACTCAATTTCTGTGTGTCAAGCAGTTCTCAGAACAAATAAGTTATATGCAAGGAAAATACAGTTTGAATATCTGCTAATGTGGGGTAATATATTCAGCTATTTATTCAATGCTCTCTGGCTATTTTTACTAGTACTGTACTTCCAGGCTTTTTTTTTTTTTTAATCTTTGATAGTGTTAGTGTTGTAGCAGCCATGATTGTCCAGAAACTATACAAGAGGCAAGACCAAGAGGTGACCTATTAATCAGATCTATTAAATCTTTTGCACGTATATTGTAGCTTAAAAAAAAAATCATGCATCTTTCTAAACACACACAGTGCAGTTAGCTAAAAAGCATTTCATTCAGGCAAAATAGTTCCTGGAGCCCTCGCCCGTCTTGCAGAGCTAAAGTAGCATTGGCTTGATTACCTACAGTGACATTTGCTAACTACATTCATGCTTGCGGGTGCCTGAAATCATTATGATTGTCAGCTAACACACAGTACTAACATCTGGTACTCCTTCCCAGGAAGTTTTCCTGGCAGTTCTGTTTTCCTAGTCCTCTTCTCTCACTCTACACAGAAAAAGCATAAAGGCAAAAGAATTGTTAAACAGGTATTATATATAGCAACATCAGTTTATTTGTAGCTTTTAGAAGTAAGGAGACAAGAGAACTGAAAAGATGCTGGCAAGATAAGCTCTCTCTGGAGTCGGAAGTCTGTATGTATCCTTACTTTTGGCATTTTAGGGGCTAAATTCAGGTAGCATAGGACATGTGATTTACAATTTAAAATGCAATATAATTTTTGTTTTTTGTTTTTAAAAGAACTGCATCAATAAGCACACATTAATATCATTCTGCAACCCAGACAGACAAGGTTCTTTGGGTAAATCTGATATCTTTTATTAAACCAACTAAAATAGTTGGAAAAATTCTTCTTTGCAAGCTTTCGGGTACAAACACCCTTCTTTAGGCAGAGGGAACGCTCCCTCTGCCTGAAGAAGGGTGTTTATACCCGAAAGCTTGCAAAGACGATGTTTTCCAACTATTTTAGTTGGTTTAATAAAAGATATCAGATTTACCCAAAGAACCTTGTTTGCCTACATCCTTAAACCAACACGGCTACAACCAACACCCCATTCTGCAACCCATACCTTTAGAAGTAACTGATATTTGGTTATTCTTTGAACAGGCTTCAGTAAGTATGAATCCAAACTCAGCTTGTGATCAAGTTTCCTTTGACATTCCTATGATGAAAGTAGAATGCAATTAATAATTAGAAACCTTTCATCTACGAAGCTCACAAAAATATGTCCGTTTATTTCCTTAAAATATTTATTTTTGTAAAACAAGCATACCTGAAAAAATACTGAGTCTGAAAACTGCCTCCACAAACTTTCAGATCGGGGCTTGTTTTGACAATATTTTTCATAAATCTGGAAATCTTCCATCTGAATTTGGTGAGAAAAAAGGCTTGTTAATTCAAGTGAGTGAAATATTAGTTAAAATCTGACACATTTTTAAGGCCTGCATATAAAAATATAAGAAAATCAGATGAAGATTTTCTGAAGTCTTAACTGTCAAAGTTTGATTGTTCAAAAATGTTGTCATTGTAATAGTAGGGTTGGGGTGATGTTGGCTTGATGGTCCAGGAAAAAAGCAAGAGGCAAGGATGTATGCGAGATATCTTTGATTGAACCAACTGTATAGTTAGGAATGGTACAGACAAGCTTATGGGTATAAAATATCTTCTCTCACACAAAGATCAGAGGATGGGTACTTCATACTCGGAAGCTGACCTATATCCCTTCTAAACACTTAATGGATATTCTTGTTTATTTGAACATTGCAATGTAGTATTTACAGAATAACTGCCCCCCCTCCATAATTCTTGCTTCAATGCAAAAGTAAAACATCTTATAAACATGTCTATTTCACATTTACAAGTCTTCTAATCAGTAAAATGGAAAACAGTCTATACAGCATAATAGTCCATCACAAATCATAAAACTGAAAATATAATAAAATAGCTGGATGCTCTTTTGGTGGCAGATGCTAATGCCTGCAGCTCTGTTCAGGTCTAAAAGCTATTGGTGACTTGTCCATGACAAAATTTTACTAGCCTCTTACAGCCTAAGGACTAAAATCAAATGCTGCCCAAGTTTTATGCTGGTGTTCATGGTGGCAAATTTCACCTGCTAAATAAAAACATCACACATATACACGCTAGAGATTCATCATAGGTCACAAAACATGGGTTGTGAACATAATGGGGCATCCTCAAACATCTTATGCAAAATAAAGTTTACAATTATTTGTGCAGTAGTTGCCAGTTCTACACCTTGACTACAATTTTGCCTTCCTGGGCCACCCTTCCCATTTTCCCTGTTGACATAGCTCAGTTTCCTTCCTGCAAGCAACACAAAAAATAAGCTTTAATATTGGGAATAAGTCAGCTTTTATACAAGCATTACTTGTATATTATTGTATATTATAAAGGCTGGGCATTATTTTTTAAAGAATTAATTAATACTTATGGGGGCCAATCCACTCATATGGGAGCATCTGCTTCATTTCACATTTATAATTGCAATAATTTCAGTTTTAATTGCTCTACAGCCTTGAAAATGTTTATAGATGACACTTTACTGAGCATTTCAAGTCTTCAGTGCAAGTTCAGTAAATAGAGCAGCTAACTCGTCATTTTGTTTTGACTTCTCAATTGCAGTATTTTGCTTACATTTTTAAAAGGGGATATTTGTCCTCATTTACATTAAATAAAGTATTCAAAAACTTGATATACCTGATAAAGTATAAATGGTGAGAGAAGACAATGGATTAATTTTAATCTTGGCCTAGGTAGAGGCATTCTAACAACAATAGACTTGTGCCTGTCGGTAGTAATTAATGCTGAATTCCATGACATTCAGGAATGACAAGTGACATAAAAGGGCCACAATGAATTGCTTTTGATTTTATCTAACAACCCATGTTTATCCATTCAAACAGTGAATGGCAATTTAAATAGTTTCAATAAAAGTATTAGTTTATTACAATGACTGGAGGTTTTGACAAGATTATGTTGAGATTAGCACCTTAAATTAAAGCATTTTTAAAAAAAAGTTTACAAAACATGACTGAAGTCACCCAAACATATTGGCTTGATGCGACTGAGGACATATCTATGGGTACATACAAGCATTTGCTGCATTGGTTTAGGCAGCTAACATGAAGCCACCGAAACCTCAATTTGAAGCATCACTTGCAGGTGTTGGCTGCTGCTGGAAGCAGCACAAGCAGCCCAGGGTAAGTAACCTGGAGTTGGAGGAAGGGCTGGCTGGTCTAAGGTGAAGAGGTGGGGGATTCTGGGTTCAGTGGCAATAGTTGGGGACTAAAAATAGCCAGGTCAGAATTGCAGCAGGGAGAGGGCACAGAAACAGCACAGCCCCATGCCTGGGCTCTCCCAGCTCCAGGGCTATGCTGTGAACACTCTGCTGTCTACAGGCATTTGCTAGATCGAGTTAACCTTTTATTGATCTTAAGTTTCATAGTTTCAAGGGTCGGAAGGGACCTGAGCAGATCATCTAGTCCGACCCCCTGCCACGGCAGGAAGAGCACTGGGGTCAAATGACCCCAGTAAGGTGGTCATCCAACCTCCTCTTAAAAACCCCCAGGGTAGGAGCCTGCACCACCTCACTTGGAAGCTGGTTCCAGACTCTAGCCGCCCTGACCGTGAAGTAGCGCCTCCTGATGTCCAACTTAAACCTTCCCTCCGCCAGCTTGTGACCATTGTTCCTGGTCACTCCTTGCGGCGCTCGGGGG